TCATACACCGTAAATCAGACCCTAGATCCTATACTGCACCGTAAACCTCACATCCCGGCTTTGAGCATGGTTTCGATGTCCATGGCGTATCCCTCGGCTTCCGCAGCCGCCTCCTCGGCTTCCGCAAGGGCAAGCTCGGCACGGTGCTCCGCCCCCTCCAACATCTTCTGCAGGTCGTCGCCGACGTGCATGATCATCATGGGAAGATCTTCGGCGTCCATCAATGCCTCATCGTCCGCCGGAACAATCTCCTCTCAGGCATCGGGAAGGGCAACCCAACACCTACGATAACCGCGTAAGCTTCCCAACTCTCTCCCCTCACCCTCGTCCCCGAAACTCCACTGTTCGCTGACATTCGTTGACTGGTGTCTCCTGCTCAAGGCAAGCATCGGGAAGCACGAACTGCACTTCCACGTTCTTGGACAGCCCGTTAGGATTGCTCTTGCGCTTCTTTCGCGCATCCGGCCCGGCATGCCCACGGGCGGCCTTTCCCAGCCGGCCTGACTTCACCATGTTGCGGATGGTCCAGGCTCGAGCCTGGGCTGCTCCTCGGCGGCCGCACGAAGCCCCATGAGCCATGCTGGCCGAAGTTGAAAGGAGTCTTCCAAACGAAAGGCTTCAGACGACGAGATCTCAAGCGATTGAGCCACAATGGCACTTGTCCATTGAGGGTGCGTTGCACACCACCAAACCCTCAAAGTCTTATGGAAGAATGCGCGGCTTTCTTCGAGGCACGAGATCGTGGCAGAGTACCCGACTTAGCGCAAATGTGCCCGCCCGCCTCCTTGGCCGCGTAGGCTTGGAGCACCTCGCCCTCGCAAGCATCCGGCACGCCGAGGACCAAGAGGTCCACAGAGAGCCCAGCAGACGCGAAGGCCACGTGGAAAAGGTGCCGGGCACGGGCTGCGTGGAAGTCGCTGGTGACGACCCAAAGCCTCCTGGCACCGTGTTCCCGGACGTATTCCACGGCCATAAGGGCCTCGTCCACAGTGTGAAGAGCCTCGAGACCAGGGTCGATGATGTGCTCTGCCGAAAGCCCGCAATCCAGCAAAGCTTGCTTCACATATCTCCAGTGTGAGGTGGAGGTTCGGTTGAAGAAGCGATTTGGGTCGGCACCGCCCGAGACGAGGACGGACACATGCTGGCCAGCAGCAGCTAGGGCCCTCCATAGGGATGCGGTCTTCACAGCTCGCTGCCGTACCTCCCCATCCACATTGCCTTTGCCGTCATTGGAGGACCCCAGCTGCAGCAGCAAGAAATGGCCTCCACAAGAGAGACTTGCATGACAACTCGCTGGCTGCAGGGACATTCCTCCGGTCGAAACAAAGGCTAGCGGCTACTCGTCGAGCCTTCGTCCTCGTTCCAAAGGTCTGGAGCCTGCAGCCGCTGAGCTTTCTGGGAATCTTCATCTCTGACACGACGAGCATGCTTTGGAACGAAGATGCTTGTGCCAACGAAACAGCGAACAGCCACCACAATCTCGGGGCACCCGAACCTTCACCGATGCGTGTCGTTTGACGACCTCGGCTCCCATCGGCTGCGATATGAGACCCCACCAGTCTCTAGTCCCGTTACGTCTTTTCGGAGATTCGAAGCGCACAGAGGGCTGTCGGCTTTTTCGGAGATTTCGCAGCTCTGGCCGCATGGCCTCGACGATATCCTCGAGCAGGCCCTCCTTCGCCTTTCTGGTCATGATGCCCTTGCCTGCCGTGCGCAGGAAAGGTTCGGATTCTTTTTTGACCTCTCCATGATCGGCAACGGACGTGGTGGTGCGACAATTGTGACCCTCGAAGCCCAAGGACACCAAACCTCACGTCCTAAAGACCCTAGCTGAAGCCGAAAGTGCTCACCATAGTCTCAGCACAGATTTGTGTTGAGTTCGTCTTGCAAGAGCTGTGCCGAGAGCGACTGTCGGACACCTCTTCGTTCCAAGCCGCGCAGCAGGAGGCCTGCGCTGGCTGGGATCAAAGAGGCTCGAGGCTGGAGGTTTCCGACGCTGAGCCGCGGCCTGCATTGGCAGGATGCCAGTTGACGAGGCTCTCCTTCGTTCGTGGACCGATTTCTTCGCTACTTCGACGCTCGACCCCGCGCCTGTCCGTTATGGCATTATGGGGCACGAGGCATTACTGGTCTCCCCGTGACCCGTGACCAGCAGTCCGACCAAACCCAGCAAAACCAAAAAAGAAGCGATCCAACTGCAGCCCGCCGCACATACGCTGTGAGGTTCAGCTCTGTGCCCACCACGACTGTGGCGTGTGGCAGGCCACCGCTGAAACTGGCAGAGCAAAGGCGACAAGAACAGACTTGCTTTCTCGAAGCAAACTTCCCATGGCAAGTCAGAAAATGTCGTGTCTCTGGTGCCGGACACAGTTGGCATACTGCATGGGGCTTCTCCACATTTGCCGAAGCACTGAAAGCCTCGCAACATCTCCAGGCTGCAGCAAGGCAATGACGGCCGCCTCCCAACAAGCGTCTAACAAGAATGAGGTGAGGTGGTCGCAAGCTGAAGTTGGGGTGCATGGGAGTGTCACTGCTGTCGGGCATACTGGGATGAGCTTTGGGCCTGTTCATGCCACCGAAAGCTGAGGCCTTTGATAGAGCTTGCATCTGCTCTGGCGACAAAGGCCTCAGTGAGGGCTCAAGGAAAGGGCTGAATACGGCGTGCAGCAGGATTCGGAGTCGGAACCCCACAGAAGCGCCTCAACATCCATCCCAAGCCTTCTACACCGCATTCCCTGAGTGAAGACAGCCTGCGGAAGAGCTCCCCTTCGTGCCGCTGAACGATCTCTGCAGCGTGATCCGGGCCCCAAAGTGCCACGAGCTTGAGTCCTGTCTGACAGATGGTGTCAGGGCTCGAGTTAATTGATTGCTCTGATGCTCGGATGCTCTCCCAAGACGTTTTGGCCCGTGCCCGGCTCCGGGGCTCAGGGCCATGTGCAGCTTTTGGGTAAGACACAGCATGAGGAGGTCCATGTTCCGAATGCTCTGAACACGACCCTCCCACAAGCTGCAAACCGCCGCCCCTTGGACCAGTCCACCGATTTCGCAGACCATGCAGCAAGGTAGTCAGCTTGCAGGAAAAATGGCAGAGGGATTTCGGCTTGCTTTCGCCGAGACCCAGCCAAAAGCTTTTCAGGCATGACTGTACTAGCGGTGAAAGCTGACCATAGGCCTTCACAAAGACTCAACACTAAATGGGATCATTGATCCATGTGCGGTTCTGATCAGCTTAGAGAGGCCTGAATCATCTGGAGATGGTGATGATGATGATGATGACGATGATGACGATGATGATGAAGACAATAGTCTTGATCATGAAACATGACCATGAACATGGTGTTGGTGTGGCGACGACGACAATGATGATGCTGATGATGACTATGACGGTGACGATGACGATGGCGCTGATGAGGACGGGGAAGATGGGATGAAGAGGATGATGGAAATGGATGGACGGACGGACCGGCTGATGTGCCATGTGCCGATGAACTCGTGAGTAGACACATTTCACATGGATGCACAGATGCCCATTGCCATACCCATCTGGTTATCCATTTGTCTAACCACTTCTGTATCTGTACTTAGACCTATATCTTTATGCCTCTATGTATGCATGTTTGTGTATGTATACATATGTATATATATATATAGAGAGAGAGAGAGCTTTGTGCATATGTATCTATCTAATCTAATCTAATCCAACCCAATCCAATCCAATCTAATCTATCAATCAATCAATCAAGCAATCTATCTATCTATCTATCTAACTATCTATCTATCTATCTATCTATCTATCTATAGAGAGAGATAGATAGATAGATAGATAGATAGATAGATAGATAGGGTATGCATATATATATATATGTATACATATATATATATATGTGTATATATATATATGTATATATATATATATATATGTCTGTAACTGGGTTGTCCTGTATGTACATATGCACAGACACGCACACCTAAGCTTGCACCCTCATCTCCAAAACACCTGACTGACTTCAGATCTCACACCGCTGGAGTTTCGCCGGCCCTGGTTGATGTTGCCTTGCCGAGAACAGCTTCCAGCATTGTGGTCAGCTTGCAGACCAGCAGCTGGAAAGGCACAGACGGTCTTCTTGTATTTTTCTGTCGTTCAGGCCGGTGCAGAAAAAACAATTCAAGAAACTACTTTGCACCACTGTGCACAAATTGCTACTTTATACAATACTAAATGTTCTCTGGATCTGTGGACTGTTCGCCACAATATGCCACAACACTCCGGACACAGCTATTGCAGTCGTCTCACAGCAGCTGCAACATCTTCTAAGAGCATGGCATCACCGCCAACTTGACGAGCATGCGCATGTTGGAACAATCTCGTTGCTTGAATTTCCTTGCACACCCTCAGCAAAACGTCCATCCCTCCGCCATTGTGTTTGCGGCGCCAATCTTCCGTCGTGAACCTGGGCACCATGTAAGGCAAAAACAGAAACAAGTGCTCTTAGGCCTTAGGCATGTTCCATGATTCCGAGAAGCGCTTCAATCAATCCGTTGCCGTGCAGTCGGCAAGCCGGAAGGTGTGACGAATCCTGCGCTGCAAGCACTCGTTGGCTTGCTTGAAATTCTGCATCTCCGTAGGATGGCCGGCGAAAATCACCAAGGGGTCGCCGGCATCCATGTCACGCATGATCTCATCAATGGCCTCCTTCCGAAAGTCTCGGGGGCCCCCGTACGAGAGGATGTATGCCTCGTCCACAAAGAGGACTCCACCCTTAGCTGAGTTAACAACTCTTCGGGTCTTCTGGGCAGTGTCGCCAACATGCTCGCCGACCAGCTCGGTACTCTGGACGATAACCACCTTGTTCTGCTGGATCATGTTTAAGTGGTAGAGAATCTGGCTAAGCATCTTCGTGACGGTGGTCCTGTCCGTGCCTGGACTTCCTTCCAAGCTCATGTGGTTTGCCACAGGCCTGGTTGCCTTTGAGCTTTCTTGGTACATGAGCAAGCCGAATGATCGAATTTTCTCTTTAATCTCACTTTGACCCACTAGGTCATCCAGCATTTCTTCCACTTCCAAGCCCAGGAGCAGCTCGCGAGTTGCAGCGCAATCCTTCACCCTCACAATCTCTTGCCTCCCATGATCGCTCTTCTTCATTACAACCGTGTACTCATTCTTGAACACAGATGGCAAGGCGCGTTCCTTGGAACTTCACTTCTCGGAAAAGGACTCCCAGAAGCGAGACGACTAGCATTCAACATATTCAACGCTTGCTGTTAGGCCGAGCCTGGACTCCAAGCCATACTGGAGGGCTAAGGTCGCCACACCTGCCACAACTCCGGCTCCTCCAACAGCAGCGCATCTAGTGAGTCGAGGTGCGACCGTCAGCAAAGATCTTCTCTCCAAAAACGTCAGGACGGAGGCGTAGGCGTTCCGGGCGACCCACTGACCGCCGACAATGCTGCCAAGCCAAGCAGCCCCTTTGTGCCAGGGCTTCCTCAACCTGAGGACGCCTGTCGCACAAAGAATCCCAACACCTTGCTCTTCAAACTCACGACGGACATCAACCGCATCCTCGGTTGGAAAGACTAGGCATAAGTGCTCCCAGCCATCTTCGCGGATCATTGCTCTGACTCGGTCAAGGAAAGTCGCCTCTCGGGGGTCTCACAGGACAAGTCTTTGTGATAACAACTTTCATGATCTTCTGGAAGCGGGCCTTGTCTGGATAGATCGTGTCGCCTTTTGGCCCGCAGACTGCAAAGCACTCGCCACCAGGAATCTCGGCCGGAGCTTCGTGCGTCCGCGATTGCGCTCGATTCTGCGTTGCTCCGGGCTCCCGTAGTACAAGCCTGATAGTAGGCCCTTGCTCCTGACGTGCCTGGCTCTGCCAAACATCTTCGCTTGGAAGGATGTCATTGCCCAAGCGAAGCCTGCGCACAGACGCACATGAGCTGAAGAGATTCAGCAATGCTCTGAGTTCACATCAAGGTATCGTTCCCTGCATGCTAGAGGATTTCGGCAAGACACCTGAGATTCTGCTGGGCTTGTCCCGGGGCGACTTGCTGCATCACATCTTGCAGCGAGGGCACGTGGCCATTCCGGACAGGTATCTGCGCGGCAGGATTCTCACAGCAACAGAATCGCGGAACAGCCATGCGGCCGAGATGCTGTGGCCAGACGCCGGGTGCTGCTCTGATTCCACACTTCGACGGCCCGCTGCTCGACTCGCTGCATGGCTCTCGGAGCAGGGAAGATCAAGGAAGAGAGGTCTAGCTCGCCTTGCCAGCCGAAACCTGGAAGCCCGTAGTCCGTGAAATCGCAAAGCATTTGCAAGCTGCTTGCAGGTCGCACTGGGCGCACGATGGCTAAACTCGTAAACCTTCGGCACGACCCCCCTGGTCGACGAGATGCATGTATGTCCCCCACCCTGAACATGCGCCCCCCAGTGATGGCAGCCTGAAGCGGCATCGGCCGATCGGCTCCATGGCAATCGGCTCCATGGCTTCTGCGAGTGACATTGTTCGCATGGAGATGCGACAAACTGACAAACGATCCAAGCACTCTCTTTGCAGCTCACCAGTGGCACCAGACTTCAAACTACGAGCTCATATTTGGCCTGCTCCAAATTGTGGCCAGCAGTCACTGAAGCGTCTGCTAGCTACATGTCCCGAAGGGCTCTTTCGAGCCGCAAGGCTGCAAACCGGCGACGTTTGGTGCAATCCTCCGCTCAAGTTGCAAGCTTACATCGCCATGTCTCTCGTCGTAATCCGGCTCCTGTGAAGTTCTTGGCGACATTGCTCCACCAAGCCTACGGCCCAGCAGCCGATCAGCTTCGCTGCTGCATCCCTCTACAGCACGTGTACTGACCCTGGTCCTCAATATGGGCTGGCTTTTCTGTCATGGTCATAGCGTCGGACGCAACCTTACACGAACCGAGCGCTTAAAGCACGTCGCAACCTGAAGCCCTGCATTTTAAACCCCCAACCACTCACAACTCCTTCAAACTCTGAAATGCAAGGCCTGATCCACATGGAGGCAGCTGCCGACCCCCGGAGCACCCACGAACGAGTGTCCCCGGTCCCACATGGGCAACTCCACCACATCTGGCAGTGGTGTGAGGTCTGGGTCTGATAGGCTGGTTGAGGGCTGAGCCGACTAGGGGTTTTGGGGAACCCGGGTGGCTTAGGGCATGCAGAAACGTTTTGTTTGTCGCGTCTGCAGGCTACACCTGAGATGCAGAGTATGGCAAAGCGCTTCAAGTCGATCTTCCAGTGCTCCGCACTGGCACTGGCACAACCAGGACGGGCGAGGGCTGGCACTAACACTACCACAAATACTAGTACCAGCTGTTGATGTGGTAGGTGGCGGCAGAGGAGGAGGAGGAGGAGGAGGAGGAGCAACAACAGCAGCAATAGCAGTAGCAGCTGCAGCAAGAGAAGAAGGGTTCAAGAAAAGCGTCCGAGGACCTCAACACCATTTAGAGCTGGCAACAGCGGCCAAAAACTGACAAATCGTGCACGACGCTTGGCCCGTTAGTTTAGCCCCTCGTCACGAAGGCAAAGCCTGGCGGCCTAGCGAACTCGAAGCGATGAATCTCTGCGGAGCTTCCCAATGCGAAAGCCGCCTGTACCAGGATGGAAGGACACGTCAGCACAGTCTCGGACCTTGGCAGAAGTCAGAACCCCGTTGAACCACTCTCTCCTGAACTCCGGCACTGCGTGGAACCATGGAATGAGGCCACCGCATCCTTGCTGGTAAGTGTTCTGCAGCGCTCGCCGGTGAGGTGGTGGGCAGTTTTCTTGGCACAGCTCAGCTCTGCCTTGGCTGCGGGTGCTCTCAGACCATGGACATTTGTACGCTCGGGCATGGATGCTCTCTTCCCAAGTGGCAATAGAGGATGGACGTTATAACGGTTGCTCCTGTTTCAAGTCGTTATCATCGTGCAGGCATGGATGAACCTGCTTTCGCTGGTACTGGTAGCATGGACGTTGTCATCATGAGGAAATGCCTGGCCACGAACGTGTAGTGTTGAGGGTCTATATATTCGTCTCCATATGCACGCATACATAGACACTTGCATGCATGTGCATACATGTATGTACCGATGCACATACACACGTACATACATACATACATACATACATACATACATACATACATACATACATAAATACATCCATGCATACATACATACATACATGCATGCATGCATACATACATGCATGCATACATACATACACACATATATATATGCGTGTATATATATATATATATACACGCCCATACACAGATACACTCATACATGTACACGTACATGTACACATAAACACAAACATAAACATGTACAGATACATGTACATATACAGGTACATATACATGCACATAAACATAAACATATACATATACATATACATATACATATACATATACATATACATTACGTATACATATACATATACATATACATATACATATACATATACATATACATATACATATACATATACATATACATATACATATACATATACATATACATATACATATACATATACATAACATGTATACGTACATATATGTATAAAAAAAGATGCATATGTATGTATGATATACACAACACATACACAGTCTGCACATGCGATCTACCCGAAAGGCTAAGCCGGCCCTGCTTTTAGGCTCGGGCGACATAGATCAGCCCATCGTCGGTTTCAGCGGCTTTTGCGCGAGTCAGACGCTGACACCTGGATACCCATAGGATGCAGGGGGGTGGACAAACAACACCCAGCAAAGAGTGGTGAAAGAACTGAGCCGCTGGTGGAATAATTATGAGCATGAAGGTGCATGCGGCTCGCTTGCCTCCCATCTTCCCGGGGCTCCGACATGCTACCTCCCTTGATCTCGGTGCGCTTGCACGAATATCCTTTACATGTTGAATAGATCTGGGTTCGAGGATGTGAGGCTCATCGCTTTGAAACCCCCTGTTCTCCTCCAGATGTCCCTGGCCAGGTGAAGACATCGCCGTCCAATTCGATTTCCGATGCATCCTGGAACGCCATGACGGCCTTGGCAACTTGATGATGAACACCTAAGCTTGCCCGATGCAAGTTGTCGGTTGAGGCCTCAACTCAGTGCCTGAACCCGAGACTGAGTGCTTTGAAGCAAGAGCGTGCGCTCCTTTAGACGGCGTGCATTGCAAGCAGCCTTCACTCTCCACCCAGTGCAAACCTCTGGAAACTCGCCGCACCCAAGTGCAGGAACGGTGCAAAACAAAAAACCTCACTCCGGACCTAGGTCCTTCACATACTGCCTGAAGCAAACCAGCATGAGTGTTCGTTGTACTGACAGAACATGTTACTTCTGATAAGAGACACGACGAATTGCAGTAAGGGGCAAGGACGCGACTCTGCGACTCCACATGGGAGTCCGAGTTCCGAGGATACTAGCAGCTGGTAACTAGCTGCACTGCAATGGAACAACAAGGTAAGAAAATCTGCCGTATCATCAATACCACCAAGCCATCATGACCATCATCATCATCACCACCACCATCGTCCATAGCCATGCTACTCATCAACAACAATGAAACTCTCCAGATTCCGAATGCAAGTGTGGGAACATCGCCCGCAGTCGCAATAGAGACAACGACGTAGTCGCGATTGCGGTGGAAGTGACAAGCAATGGCAGTAATGGCAGGAAAGCAAAAGGGCTCGGCCGGCCTCCACTGCGGTTCGGTGTTGCGCGCACGCCTCGCAAGCGATTGCGCTCCTGCAACACTCCTTCCTTACCCGGAAAAGCCCGGATTCGCGAACCCGAATCGAAACCCAAAACCGCCAAAACATCTCCGCTTTGTGGGTGCCTCCCGCAATGCTTGGGGAAGCGAGGTCTCAAGAGCCAGCTTCTGGAGACCCTTGCGAAGGATGCACATCTGGGCCTCCCAGGGCTGGTGCGGTGAATCTGAACAGGGAGGCCTAGGGCTGGATGCTTGTTCTGGATATGGTGCAAAGCCTGCTGTCTCGCAGACAGTGCTGAAGCCAAAGCGCTGGGACTCTAAGCAGAGCCTGCGAGTGGTCGGCATAGCGGACGAAGCTGAGGAAGCTTTCGGGCGACTCCACCACAAAGGGCTGCTTGCAGACGTCCTGGCCACGCAGCAAGGTGTTGGAGCTCCAATCTTGAAGGGCTTTGGTCACCACCTTTGTGGTCATGCAATCCCTGAAGGGCAATCCAACTAGGAGCAGTGCAACTGGGGTGCTTATAGCTTTCCCTGCATTGGCCGCGCACGAAACACAAGCACGGAAGTGCGTTCCAATAAGACCGTCTGCCAACCTTCAACACCTCTTCCGGCCAGCCACTGCTATCGGCAGCCTGGCAGCTATACTGGCAGGAGAGGAGACAGGTGAAGGTGACTGATATCATAGGAGAACTAAAGTGATAATGATCCTGAATGATAGCGTCTGATAGTGGCAAGATACACACGATACTAACGACCATGATGACAGTGAACGATACCGACAGGGTAGCAACAATCAGGTGCAAGTGAAGAAATCATGGTTCATGCCATGGCATGATGTTGAATCTTTGTAACCCCTGAACAGTCCGACCCTCTGTGCAGAATACATGTGGAAGGGCCAGCGAGAAAGAGAGAGAGAGGGGGAGGGAGATTTAGAGTCAGTCTGTCGGAAACGCCATCCGTCGCCAAGATGGCAAAGCATGCACAAGCCTGGTCCAAGGATGACACCTCGGATCTTTCCTGGCTCGCCTACCATGCCAGAGCACGCAGCCCAAATCAGTCCAAATCAGGACGCCTCTCTGAGGCACGGGCCTCGTGTGGCATCTTGCCATGGACATGTTGAGTCAGTTTGGGGCACTCGGCCTGACTATTTCTGCAAAAGTTCGGTTGGGTTTGCTCATGGGCAGGGGATTGCTGAGCCTTGAGCTACATCTTTAGGGGAGTCAACTCTGGGTAAAACTCTACAGCACAATGGGTTGAAGGACTTTCGGGGTGTGGGGTGCTGTGCTGTTGAATTATCTTGTCATGTCCTTGCAGAGCCCCGGCCCCAGCACCAAGCACAGTTTTGCTATCCATGGAGGTGGGCGGCAGGGCAGGGCGGGGCAGGCGCTTTCGAACCTTTTCTCGTCGCCCCCTTCCCGAGCAGCATCCTCAGCAGTGAGCGACAAGGGCAAGTCGGGAGGCTGTGCACCCTGAGAAAGCGAAACGCTGGTCACCGTCCCGCAAACGTCCAGGACGCCGTTGGGCGCACCCAGGCTGGGCCACCTCCACTCTTCATTCAATGGACCCTCCACCACGCACTTCTCCTCGCCCTCCTCGCAGCAGGAATCAAGGGACCAAGGGTTCTACTGCGTTGAGCAGTGCCAATGATTCGAATCACTTCCTACATAATGTGCAAAAAGTTTTTTGGTTTCAGTCCGCCCTCCTCGAAGATAGAGAGGGTAAGGCTGCTTGGCCCCACGTCCAAGACCACACCCAGCTCTGCGCCGACGATGCACTCCAGAAGAGGGCGCCAGGAGATCTTAGCCAGCTCCCGGCCCCCCATGTAGGCCTTGGGCGGATCTCCACCCACCACAAAAGATCCTCGGCTTTTTCCGGCACGTGCAAATTTCAAATAAAGAACAAAAACCCTATGTCACTACGTCTACCGACCCAGCTACACTGAACTACACCACCCAAGGATCTGGGCAGCTGGTGAGCGAGCTCAGGCATGTGGCCATCGGATGTCCAAAGGGATGCTCGGCGCTTAAGCTGTGGGGCCTCGTCGCCCTCTAAAAGCAACGCATGCGGAAGAGGCCACACAAAGCCCAGTGCCAAGGTCCGGTTCGAGCGTTTCTCGGCCATCGCTTCGATCTTCACCTGGAAGAAGTAGCGCTGCCGACCCTGTACAGGCGAAAGCTCGCTGGTCAAGGCGACCGCGCTGATGAGCCCCTTCTGCCGCGTGGCCACATCGAGGTAAGGCGTCTCGCTGTCGCCCTGTCTGGCCGTCAGCTCAATGTTGGGGCTGCACGTGGCGAATGTCAGAAGTGGAAAGTAGTTGGCTGCCTCTTCGCGGATCATGTGGCGCGCCCAATCAACCGATCGCACTTCCACCAGCGCAGCGCCCCCTGCGCGGTTTCTGCAGGCGGGCACCCGCACGCGCACTGCGGGCGAGTCCCGCTTGGACAAATCTTCCAGCACTTCGCAGCTAGTTCCATCCACCCAGACCTCGCTGATTGTTCCCGCAAGATCTCGCGCCTCGATGACCACTTCTGCCCCGCTGCAAGGGATGCGGGCAGGCTCTAATCTGAGCTTTTGTGGAAGCGCCGACTCCTTTCCAGACTCTCCAGGCCCCGCAGCCCCCTCCTTGTCTGTGCATTTGGAGCTTGAGCTCAGCGCCGACTGTGGCTCTGGTAGCTGGGGACAAAGGTTTTCCACACGGACGGACTTCTGCCGCCCGTCGGGGAGCTGCACAAAGAGGCGACCGGCACCCTCCTCACCCTCGACGGTGACCAGAAGCTCGTTCAGCTCCACAGCCTTCTGCAAACCGACAATGCGCGCCTTTTGTCCCACCTGCAACTCTGCCGCTACAGCCTTCATGGCCTCCTCTGCCTTCGCGCCCACCTCCGCCAACACACCGACGTGTTGCCGGAAGAGTGCCAAAAGCGTCTGCCGAAAGTGCACGGGCCTTCGATAGATGAAAGACTGCAGTGCCGCGGTAAGCTTATCCTCTTTCTGATGGTGAGATTCCTTGGCACGCTCTAGCTTCTCGTGGTTTCTGGCGATCTGCTCGGTGACCACGCCCTTGGAGGTGCTGCGCAGGGTTGCGACCTTCTCTTCGTAGTGCTGCCTCTCGGAGAGCGCGTCATCTCGTTCGTTCAACAGGCCGGCCACTGAACTGCACTCTTTCAGGATCTCATCACAGCTTCCCATGACCTGCGCAAATCCGGCCTTCTTCAGGCTCTGCTCGAAGGAATCTGTGACGCTTGCGCATTCCTGCACTAGGGCCATGGCAGAGGTGTCCACGCCGCTGACATCCAGACCGAAATACCTTTGAAGCCCTTGCATGAGGGCGGAATGGGCCTGAGCGACCTCGCCCATATGCTCCGCGATCTTCATCGTTGCATCACGTACCAAGGCTGCCAGCTGCCTTTGTGGCTCCACCGTTGCCTCCGCATTCTCGTAGTCCAGGTGCTCTGGGCCCCTGGTCCGCCGACGAAAGCGGTGGTGCGTGGGATCCATGAAGTCTTTGAGCAGCGACATCTTAAGCGGCCCTTTTTCTCCTAGATTCCTGCTTGCCGCTTGTCCCTGTCGATGCACTGAGACGAAGGCTGTAAGTTGACCTTCAGATGCTGCGGACATGTCTGATGTCTGCAACTACAGCTCAGCTCAGGAGCACTGTCATGTTTCAAAGATGCACGACCAGAAGGCGCCAGTAGAACAGGCCGGCTTCGAGAGCGGAATACCCAGCCAAATGTCCCTCTCGCCATCTGAAAGCATTCAGAATTTTCTACATGCAACGACTATCATACCCTGCATTGAAGGAAGCAAGCTCCGAGACACCACAATCAGACCATCGTTTGCGATTGTTCACTCCGGCACTGTTGCATCGAAACTGCCATCGAGAAACATCCAAACCCGGTTTGCCTCCCACGCCTGCATTCCCCAATGGCCACACCTCAAGCCAGCAAATTTCCGGATGAACCGACGAAACCGACGAAACATGGCGGCAGAAGGGTTCGATTCTTTTGGTCCCGGCGCGGTAACAAGGGTGTCACGGTTCAGTCCAGCATGCTGGCGGCATGTGCGAAGACTGTGTGAAGCACATCTGGCCAGCAACGACACACAGCAATGGTCACAATGATCTGGAATACAATTACTTGCTGAACAAATGGGCGCGCACACATGCTGTGCACAGCGTGCAAAACGCGAGGGGTGAAATTCCGGAAGTGCAGCTGTGAGGAAACGTTTGCAAGATTTTTGCAATTTACAAGAGCCAAGTGCCAGCTGGCAGGACATTCATGTCCAACAAGCTAGTACGCGATGAAGCAGTCTGAACTCGAGTTTGTGCCCAGTGCTGGAAACATGTGTGGCACTGCGAATGGCTCCACACCACGAGCTTTCAGTGAAGCAAGATGAGCAGTTCGAGTTTTGAACCTCGGTCCATGGTGTGTCTCCCGTGCTCATACAGTAAAGCTGTGGATTAAGACGCAGTGGGGCTTCAGGGCTATGCCTTCATGTGCTGGGGTCCCACTGCTGTCAGAGCACCGCAGTATCATCATGTCTCAGCTAAGACCCTGGCTGCAGCAAGCAGGCCATCACATTCCGAAGTGTGCAGCTGAGGATTTCTCTCCCTTGGCACGAAGGTGTGGTTGCTCCTTGAATGCCATGTGTGGAACGATGGTCCTTCGAGATACGTTGTGGTGCCTGATGAGGCTCACACGGCACGAGCCACCACGACAGGGGCTGAACCGGATCACCCAGATGGGTTGAAGTCCTGGGCAGTGTTAGATCCAGCTTGTAAGCTACTTACAGCGGACCCCAAGCATTCCCATGCTCCCTGAGATTCCTCCATCTTCTTGAGTAGCGTCTCGGCGTAGTTGGGCGAGTAGTACCTCAGCGTCTGGTGAATCCACAAAACTCTCGAACCTTCGCGTCCGAGCTTGGATTTGGAGGGCATAGGAGAGCACAAACGTCAAGGGTCCTTTGCCCCCGGCTGCACGATCTCTGGCGGGTAGAGCATGTTGATCTCCTCGATGTAGTCGTGAAGCTTGGAGCCCACCTGACATCCGAGCTGGTTTAGGCATGGCGGCCCTCCCTGAAACTGGTGGCCGCGTGGCCGTGGCCCTCTATCTTCCCACCCCTCTCTGCGAGGGACCTCCGCCTTGACTTCCTGGATTTTCTGCAGGCCACCTGATGGCGTTGTCCGTGTCACTTCAGATAACGCAGCCCACTGGCTCGCGTTAAAACATGGAGTGCACCATGGTCTGCAAGATCGCACCTGACTGGACGAAGGACTTTCGGGCGTTCAGATCGCTCGGGAGCACCTGTAAAGGGAAGATGGACGGCTTGCGCATGGTAGCCAGATCCCCTGAGAAAGACTGAGGAGCACCTGAACCGTGCCCATATATATAATTCACAGCTTCATGACCTTTTCTGAGAATTGAGCATCAGACTTCAGAGATCTTGATAGCATTGGTTGAACTTGCTGCTTCTTGAAATGTTGGCACCAATGCTGCTATGACTGCTGTTATGGTCACGTCGGAGCGGTGGTGATAGGAGGATGACGAGGAGGCATCGTTGGCGGCAGTCCTATTCCAAACTATGGCGGCGAAAGGAAGGCCTACACCGACGTGCTGACACGCAGACCCTGGAACCCTTTGCCCAACCAATCACCAATTCACAGCAGCTTCAAACGCCCCCCAGCCGCCTTTGCAAACTGCTGGACCACATACTTCAAGATGTTCGGAGGTGCCTGGGGCTCAGAGGGCTTGTATCTTCACGGAAGTTGATGCCACGCAACCGGAGCCGCCCCATCTGTGCTCCTGCTGTGGCTTCTTTGGTGACTACGCCCACTACGGCGATCATCACTACTCATGGTACAGTTCGTGCCCAGGACTATTCCCATCCCTAAACCCTGGACCCTGGAACCTGGACCCTAAACGGCCCCAAACCCTGAAGCCTCCTGAACCCCCTCTCCCAATCCTCAGCTTATTCGAGCCCTTATGATTATGGCAATCCGTCGTCTACCCTACAAATAAAAACCCTTAAAGGGCCTTGAAAGGAAATTCCCCGCACCCGGCCTCCAAAAGCGGCTCTAGGGCTGGCAGGTGCGTGCACTTCTGGATCACGCTCTTCAGGGCGCGCTTGGCCTGGAAAAGCGCTCCGGAGCGGCCTTTTAGCTTCGGATTCCTGTGTGGGTTTGGGGGCTTGGGGAAGTTCTGGGCATATTATGGACTATTTGAGCCTTTGAGCTTCTGGGTTTAGGATTAAGGGCTTTGGGTTGAGGGTTGAGGAGATTGGGCGGAAGGAATCCGACCACGAAGAATTAACAACAACCAGGAAATAGCGATGACAATGAGAATAGTCACATCGGGTCGACAACTGCCCGTATAACAAGAAACAGAGACAACACATCGAATAACTATCAGTCCATGCTTGCAGCTCACATGCAAATTAGAAGAGTACTCGCACGATCGGTAATCAGATGGTGGCAATTCGCTGTGACAGAAAACTGTCGTGCGGATGCCGTCGTGGTGTATGTGACAGCTTTAACCACCACCTCAACCACCACAACCACCACCTCGGGAACAGCAACAGCAACAGCAGCAGGAAGAAAAAAGCAGCGACGGGAAAAAGCAAACCGCCAAGACAAAATGAACGTATGTACAAATACCCATGGCAGCCATAATGGCAGCAATAACTAAGCAGGATCTACGAGCTCCTACAGTTCCCAAGTCAATTACCCCGGGTCAAAGGCGACTGATTGGAAGCACTGAACATCCTTCATCACGAAAGCTTGCAGCCCCAAAGACCCTGGAAGCAAAGGCCTTGGTCCTCAAGTCTTCGCTCGAATCCTGGTGCAGATAGACCTTCCGGACGTTCACACCAACTTCAGGACTGCATGTTTGGGAGTCTGCAGGCTTACGCGACTGGAAACGCTTGCACCACAACCATGCGGCACGCGAGGCCCCCGCTGCGAGCAACCTTCGCAGAACGTCCTCGGCCACCGCTGGTTGGCAAATGAACCAACTCGCAGTCGACATCGACATTGATCAGAAATACTATCCGCGAGTCTAAGACTTCGAAAGGCCCCGACGGCTTCGGCAAGGGCACGTGCATGGTCTGGGGAGTGGCGGCCGATCCTCGGGTGCTGGCAGAAAATTTGAGAACGTCATGGAAATAATAATTAGTATACTCATGAACCCGGGTCATCTTAGTATGTGCGCTTGTCTATATCCCTCTTTCTTTCGCCAGGGCTAGGAACAGGGGTCTATATCCCTCTCTCTCTCTCCCCCTTCCTTGGAATACACCGAAAGCAGGAGATACCAAATAAGATGCATCTATAAATATACATAATATAGATATAGATATAGATATAGATATAGATATAGATATAGATATAGATATATATATGGTAACCCCCCCTATTGACCAACCTCCACTATAATATGACTGCAGGGGGGGGCGGGCGAGGAAGCAAATTCATAACAGCACCAAACAGTAGATATCACAAAACTAAACTTAAAAGCATAACAAAGTTAGATTTCGAACTGTGTGCTCAACCGGAAACCAAAAAAACGGAGTCTCCAGGCCTATGTTCCTCAATGTCGTAACCAAAAAACAAAAAAACAAAATTTGCACAACTATGTTCCGGACCACAACCAAAGAAACCAAAATATATATATATATAAAACAAAACAAAAAACAAAATCAAAAAAAATGCACAACTATGTTCCGGACCATAGTGTCCCAGATTTTGTGTTTTTTGGCTTTTAGTTTTTTTTGTTTTTTTTGTGTTTTTTGTTTTTTGGTTTATTTGGTTTTGTTTAGTCTCTTTTTATTTTTTGGTTAGTGTAATACGTGATCAATGAAACTTTTGGTTTCTTTGGCTTTTGTTTTAATTTACATATTTTCTTTATTGTTCTGTGACATATATTCTGTTTTTACGCGGCAGCCGTACAGCATGCTCAAATTTGCTTCCTTACCCCTTGCGAATACATACTATATATCAATACTCCACGTATACAGACACATGCGTATGTGCTTATATGTATGTCTCCTCTGCATGATCCACATGTGCCCTGCTCAGTTACGATGCTTGGTCGCGGACGTCCTCAAGGGACGTCTGCAGGTTCTTTTTCGGGTTTGGGGTTCTTCGCGAGTTTGTCAAGAGCATGCAGTAGAACCGTGTCACAGTGAGAAAGATCAACATGAGCGGCATGCAGTACATGATCTGGAATGTGAGAAAGTGACACAGGGACCACTGCACGCGGCATTCAGTGTTGATCTACTTGTGAGAGATAGAAAGTAGTTGTGTGGGGACGCTGTCCGATGGAGTAAAAGTGCCGCTGCTCATGATGCTCGCCCCTTATATTTGTGCTTGTACCGCACGCAGTTCTGAGCAGAGAGTTTCTGTCCATATCTTCAATTTCATCTCTTCTGATACGGCTCAAACTAGCGCGCTGCCATAGGCCTTATTGACTTTCCTCGCACCTCGCGAACCATCTGCCTCTCGCAATGTCCGCCGAAGATCTCACTTTGGATGACTTGAAGACTGCCGTGCCACCAATGATCTGTCGCAAGCTAGCGCAGCCTGCCATGCTCAAGCTTCCCATCGGCATCTTTTCGCCTGTCACATTGCCTTTGCAGGACATCAGTAGCGGTGACAACCCCACGGTGAACCTTCTTGACATCATCTCAGAGTATACGGAAGAGATAGACTTCAGTACACTCGAACGTGCATTTGTTGAGGCCAACAACCAATGCAACATGAATCTTCTTCCTCCGCCTTTCGGCTTCAAAACCCCGACCGCGCCAGTGGACCATCCAGTGCTGATCGGCTACATGCCACCGAACGGCTGCTGCCATATATTCCACATTTCTTTCCGGGAAGACTTTGTCTTATTGATCACTTCTTTCCGAGCGTAAAGCTTTTTTTACCGCGTAACAAGCATCCTGAGGTGATAGGGTCGAATGCTACCGTGGCTCGGTCTACAAAATCACATCCAACGGTGATGAGCTTTTAGAAGAACACGAATACGTGTTGTACAGGTCACTGCGAAAGCAGTGTGCTTGAAGCGTTTGCTTGTGAAGAGACTGTCTTGAGCATGCGTCATGTGAGAAGCCAGAGTTGGTCAATTGGGGGGGGGGGGGCTAGCAAGCATATATATATATATACATGAATATATATATATATATACTAGGTAGATATATGTCTATATCTGTGTAGATACATGTACGTATTTGCGCATGCATGCATAGAAGCATGTGTGTATGTATGTATGTATGTATGTATGTATGTATGTACGTATGTACGTACGTGCGTGCGTACGTAAGTATGTATGCATGCATGCATGTATTTATGTATGTATATGTATGT